ATCTTAGCCATTGAGCCACCATGTCCCTCTTTCATTAGACTAGACGTACCCAGTTCCTGCAACCGTCCTTCGTATATTTTATTAGCCTGTTGCTCTTTTCTCCACTATTTCCAAAGCCTCTACATATATTTTTTTATTTGCTTATGGCTACAATATATTGGGTTGGGTGTCCCTGGTTCTTACATATACATTCTTCTTCCTTCTTTTGTCTCCTTCCTCTTCCGTTTACCCTCACGTCGGGTTTCGAACTCGTCCATGTGGAAGCTCAGAGGTCCCCTTGACTCATCTTGCATCAGCCGTAATCTGCACTGAAACAACTCATTTCCTCTGCCCTGTCAGCATTGGCAGACTATTATTTCCTTCTCCTGCCAAACTGAGACACGAGGCTGTTTTGAAACAAGGATGTAATCCTATCAGAGATAGATCTCTCTGGCTAGGGACCATGACCTTCTAACTGGCTAGAGGAGATCCTCTTCAAATAAATAAATAAACCAAACCTACCGTGTTTCCCTGAAAATAAGACCGGGTCTTATATTATTTTTTTGTTCCAAAAGTTGCATTAGGGCTTATTTTCTAGTTAGGTCTTATTTTTGGAGAAGTACAGTACTAATTGTGTCCATCTGGCTGATGATCTTAATTAACTGGGGCTTATTTTTTGGGGTAGGGCTTATATTACCAGCATCCTGAATAAGAGCCTTTGTAGTGCAGTGGTCTAAAGCACCCTGTTATTAAGACCAGCTGCCTGCAATTACTGCAGGTTCGAATCTCGCCAGGCTCAAGGTTGACTCAGCCTTCCATCCTTTCTAAGGTAGGTAAATTGAGGACCCAGTTTGTGGGGGCAATAAGCTGACTTTGTATAAAAATATACAAAAAGGATGAAGGCTATTGCTTAGCGCATTGTAAGCCGCCCTGAGTCTCCGGAGAAGGCCGGCATATAAATCAAAAAATTTTTTTAAAAAAGAATCATGCTAGGGCTTATTTTCCAATTGGGTCTTATTTTCAGGGAAACAGGATAGAGAAACGAAAGAGAGAACAACACGGGGTGAATTTTAGCTTAAGGAAAATTGAGGGGAGACACGATGTCTGTCTTGCAATGCTTGAAGGGCTATCACTGAGAAGAGGCTGGGTCAAACACTTCTCCAAAGCACCTGAGGCCAGGACAAGAAGTAATGGGTGGAAACTCATCAAGGAGAGACCCAACCTGGAATTAAGGAGAAATTTCCTATCGGTGAGAACAATTAATCAGTGGAACGACTTGCCTCCGGAAGTTGTGGGTGCAGGTTTTGAAGGAAAGATTGGACAGCCATTTGTCTGGGATGATACAGGATTTCCTGCTTGAGCAAGGGATTGGACTCCCTCCCTCCCAGCCCTATTATTCTATGTCCTATCTCATTGTCATCCTATAAAACCTACACATAGGACAGGACGCCACTAGGCAGGAGAAACATGGCAAAACGGACTGATTCCAAGTTGGTTAATGCCTGAGGGAAGATTAGCCACCATTCCCTTATTCGTTCAATCTGTAGGCTGAATATGCTTTAGAACGGAATGGAATGGAATGGAATGGAATGGAACAAATAGAGTAGAGTAGAGTAGAATAGAATAGAATAGAATAGAATAGAATAGAATAGAATAGAATAGAATAGAATAGAATAGAATAGAAAATATGGAATAGAAGGGAAGGGAGTAGAGTAGGGTAGAGTAAGTAGAATAGAATAGAGTAGAGTAGAGTAAAATAGAATAGAATAGAATAGAATAGAATAGAATAGAATAGAATAGAATAGAATAGAAAATATGGAACAGAAGGGAAGGGAGTAGAGTAGAGTAGAGCAGAGTAGAGTAGAAAAATAGAATAGAAAAATATAGAATAGAAAAATATAGAATAGAAAAATTAGAGTAGAATAGAATAGAAAAGTAGAATAGAAAAATAGAGAATAGAAAAATAATAGAACAGAACAGAATAAGTTGGAGGGGGCCTTGGAGGTCTTCTAGTCCAACCCCCTGCTCAGGCAGGAAACCCTATACCATTTCACACAAATGGTTGTCCAATCTCTTCTTAAAAACCTTTAGTGATGGAGCACCCACAATTCTTGGAGGCAAGTCATTCCACTGATCAATTGTTCTCACTGTCGGGAAATTTTCCTTAGTTCCAGGTTGCTCCTCTCCTTGACGAGTTTCCATCCGTTGCTTCCTGTCCTGCCTTACTCAGAGAAGATGGGGAGGGTTTTTAAAATTGTAGAAAGACACATCACCACCTTGTACTGTGCTGATGACACTATTCTGACAGCCGAGCTTGCAAATGATCCGCAGGCTCTAATAATGAAAGTCAAGGCGCGGAGCGGGGGGGAGAAAAATGAGAATATGATTAAATATCAGGGAGACTAAACTACTGACAAGTGCAGCAACCTCTGAATTGACAGGAGAGATATTGAAATGGTGTTTGAGCTCTGCTTTTAGGGTCTGCTGTCAACTTGGGAGTCTCCAGGGGACGTGAGCCGATGAGACAGTGCCACTTTCTAAATCAGAATCAGAATAGAGTTGGAAGGGACCCTGGAGGTCCTCTAGTCCAGCCCCCTGTTCAAGCAGGAGATCCTTGCTTTTTAATTATATACGTTATTCTTGATCATTGTTTATCTTGCTGCCTTATCATTTCTTATTGCAAGGCATCCAGAATCATGTTTTATGAGATGGGCAGGGAGCTCTATAAATACAATAAATAAAAAACTTTGGTACCCATATTATAAAGAAGGATGTTGAGACTCTGGAAAGAGTGCAGAAAAGAACCACAAAGATTTTTAGAGGGCTGGAAGCTAAAACATATAAAGAATGGTTGCAAGAATTGGGTATGTCTAGTTTAATGAAAAGAAGGGTTAGGGGAGACATGATAGCAGTCTTCCAATATTTGAGGGGCTGCCCCAAAGAAGAGGGAGTCAAGCTATTCTCCAAAGCACCTGAGGGCAGAAGAAGAAGCAATGGGTGGAAACTCATCAAGGAGAGAAGCCACCTAGAACTAAAGGAGAAATTTCCTGACAGTGAGAACAATTAATCAGTGGAACAACTTGCCACCAGAAGCTGCGAATGCTCCAATACTGGAAGTTTTTAAGAAGAGGTGGGATAACCATTTGTCTGAAGTGGTGTAAGGTTTCCTGCCTAAGCAGGGGGTTGGACTAGAAGACCTCCAAGGTCCCTTCCAAGTCTGTCATTCTTTTTCTAGAAGCCGTATTCCTTTTCTTGGGGGAATTTATTTCTTGGTCTGCTCTACTTAAAACGCAACTGACAAGGCACCAGATCATGGGCCAGTCTCTTCTCCTGGCTGACAAGCTTGTGCAGTTGGGGAAGTTCTTACTTGACCTTTAAGCCCATCTTGACCCATCTTTCCAGTCGCATTAATTCATTCGGTTCCCCCCTCCATCCCTGCCCTTTGGGGCAGGGAGAAAATAAATCTTCTGTGTGACAGTTTTTTTCCCTCAACGGGACGCTTGCTATCACAATGCTGTCATCAAATTGGCTGTCCCCCCTTGCTGATGTCTCTCTCTCTCTCTCTCTTTCCTACTCCTCTTAGTCCCTTTTTCCAATCCTGGCGGTCTTCCAGATGTCCCTCCGAGGCCGACGGTGACAAATCCTAGCTGATTTTTTTTCATTCCTGGAGGTCCTACATTGGGCAAAGGACCCTTTGAATAACAGTGCAGCTGAGGACAACGGGCTGTTAGGTTGGGGAAACAGACGTAGGCGTTCTCGGAGAGGGGCAGAAGAGAAAAATAGCCAGGATTAGAACCTCGGGGAGGAAAAAGCTACAGACTGAGTAGAGCTGGAAGGCAACATTTGAAGTCCTTGCTTTGTCATTGCCTTGGGTGAGCGCGATTAATTTCATCCACGGATGCCCAACGAATCTGAGCACAAGCTGCGGTTTTCAGAGAGGAAAACACTTTGGGGAGGGGGGAAGCTTGCCTTTTTTTGGGGAGAGGGAATGGTTATTCAGGAAATTTTCTGCCACCCAGCTAATCCCAAATTCTTTTTTTTTTCCAGTACAGCTAGTTCTTGACTTGACTAGTCCCTTTCTTTAGTGACCAGTTTGGAGTTACAATGGCACTGAAAAAAGTGACCGTTGCAGCATCCTCCCTTGTCTCACTTAGCAACAGAGCGCGGTCATAAGTCAAGGACTACCTGTAATGCCAAATCCAGCCTGAACCTTCTGGCTGACTGTGTGGTAAACCAATGCTAGGTATACCATGAAGGCAGGGGTGAAATCCAGCAGGTTCTGACAGGTTCTGGAGAACCGGTAGCGGAAATTTTGAGTAGTTCGGAGTAGCGGCAAATACCACCTCTGGCTGGCCCCAGAGTGGGGTGGGAATGAGGGTTTTGCAATATCCTTCCCCCAGGAGTGGAGAGGGAATGGGGATTTTATAGTATCCTTCCCCTGGAGTGGGGTGGGATGGAGATTTTGCAGTATCCTTCCCTTGCCACGCCCGCCAAAGCCACACCACACCCACCAAGCCATGCCCACAGAACCAGTTGTAAAAAAAAAATTGGATTTCACCACTGCATGAAGGATGAGTGAATATTGGAGAGCTACGGTGGAGATTGTAGCACCTGGAGACAGCAGAATGGAAGAGAAAGACTTGGAGAAAAATCACAAAATGTAAAGACCTGTGGGTACCGATCATGATAAGCGGCTTGGGTGCAATTCCAAAAACATCTGGAGCAGCCCTTGAACACTATTGGCTGTCAGCATTCTGATGCTGCCATAAAAAGACGAGGCTTGACTTTTCACCTACTTATTTTCTCTGTAGATAATATCCCCTTGGAGATGGGACGGGAGGGGGGAACATTCCTGTGGGGTGAGGTCAGAAGCTGGGGAGACTGACTTGGAAGATGGCCAATGAGAAGATGAGAATTGGGAACGGAAAGGGAAGGGTTTGGGGGTCAGAGGGTTAGTATCGGCTACGACGAAGTCGGGGCCAGATCTGTCATACTCAATAAATGGAATATTTCAGCAAAGATTAATTGTTTGGGAGTGCAATTTATTTGAGATGACATCGAAACCTGACATCGGCATTGACACAATCCCCGATCGGTCAATTGCAAAAAAAAGGCAGTTTGACTTGGAACAGCTTTCATCCTGCGGCGAGATTTTTAACACCGTCAAATATCAACACCTGCCTCTTGGAAAGGACTCGATAGGTGGACAAAAGTGACAACTCCAGTCTGAAGACAGTTGGTGACTGTCAGTCCAACAACAACAACAACAAACAAACAACAACAATAATAAATGTCTCTGATTCACTGCAGCTTCACCAATTCTCTTCCCCATACTGAGGTTCAGTTGCAAGCAGCCGGTGTTTTAATAAGGTCTCTCCCACCCCTTCCAGTTTTGCTGTCTCAGCCTGCTTCGTGAGTAATGAGGGCCTGCAGGCAACACCTCAATATTTCTTTCTTTCTTTCTTTCTTATTCTGCTTGTTTTCCTGGAATTAACGTGGCTGAGGGCACTTTGTAAGTGCTGGAAACAGAACAATCCTGCAAAAAAGGAACAAAAGGAGCAGTAGGGGAGAAGGGATGAAAAAATGCAAACAAAGATTGGCGAAAACATTCACGCAAGGCTCTCTTAGAAAGAGAGAGAGAGACAGAGAGAGAGAGAGAGAGAGAGAGAGAGAGAAAATCTGTCCGGTTAAGATAAATTATCCTTCAATTTTTCCCGTGTCCTCTAGATCAAAATCCCTCCCCGAGATCCATATGGCTCCTATTTTGTCCAAAAAACACACTGAAAACCTGGCTTTTTTCCCAGGACTTGATGTAATGGAAGCACGGGAGCCCCTGTGAGGGTTTTGTGCTGTAGAACATACGATGAAGGGACCTTGGAGATCATCTAGTCCAACCCCCTGATGGAGCAGGAGGTCCTACGGCTATTCTGGACAGATTGGTTGCCCAGTCTTCTCATTAAAACCTCTGGTGATGGAGCCACCCAGAAAGGCCAGCCCTTCCGCTGTTTGATTGTTGTCTCTGTCAGGGAAATTTCTCCTTAATTCTACGTTGGATCTCTCTTTGATAAGCTTCCAACCTGTTAGTTCTTGTCATGCCGTCAGGTGCTTTGGGAATAAATCAATTCCCTCTTATTTGTGACAGCAACTCAGGGACTGGAAGACAGCTATCATGTCCCCTCCAATCGAGGAGAGGAGAGGAGAGAGAGAAGGGAAGGGAAGGGAAGGGAAGGGAGAAGGGGAGAGGAGAGGAGAGGAGAGAGAGAGAAAGAATGGAGGGAAGGGAAGGGAAGGAAAGGAAGGGAGAAGGGGAGAGGAGAGGAGAGGAGAGAGAGAAGGAAGGGAAGGGAAGGGAAGGGAGAAGGGGAGGGGAGAGGAGAGAGAGAAGGGAAGGGAAGGGAGAAGGGGGAGAGGAGAGGAGAGGAGAGGAGAGAGAGAAGGGAAGGGAAGGGAAGAGAGAAGGGGAGGGGAGAGGAGAGAGAGAGAAGGGAAGGGAAGGGAGAAGGGGAGAGGAGAGGAGAGAGAGAAGGGAAGGGAAGGAGAAGGGGAGAAGGAGGAGAGGAGAGAGAGAAGAAAGGGAAGGGAAGGGAAGGAAGAAGGGGAGAGGAGAGGAGAAGAGAGGAGAGGAGAGAAGAAAAGGGAGAAGGGAAGAGAACCCTAACCCTTCCCTTCCCTTCTCTTCCTTTCCCTTCCCACCCCTCTCCTCCCCTTCCCTCTCCTCCCCTCCCCTCCCTCCCTCCCTTCCTTCCAGAAAACATAACTTCAGCTTATTTCGAAACCAACCGAAGACTCTTCTATTCCATCAAAATGTGCGCCTTTAATCCTCAAAGGTCAGGTCCTGCTTCTAAGCTCCATCGTAGCCCCGTCTATTCAACGCATCCCTGTTTTCTGCTGGCTTTTATTTTTGACAGCCGGCGGTTACGTCAGGGTATGGCTGTCTCCGGACGTAAAGCTCTTATTGGAATGGATGGATGTTTTTTTTCCTCCGAGCGGTAATTGATGTCATTACCAGATCTCTTGGACGGAGGGGAGGGGTCTGCCCCATTTCTTCCAGCAAGATAAATATATACCATAAGCATGGAAATAGATCGTTATTTTCTGTAATTTTTTTTTTTTTTTTTTTGAAAGATGTACGTCGGAGTCCCTGCTAAGGACGCGGTGCAATTTATAACTCAAAACTAGATTGGCCTTGTTCCTTGGTTAGGAAATGAACCAGAGAGCCAAGATACAAATGATATATAAAATGTGTTTTGATTTGTTACGTCCAATTATGCCCAGGTATATATATATATATATCCCATTCTAGGTAATGAGAAAAAGGAATTTGTCTTCACAGAACGTTAAGTTCTGCTTAAGAAAAAAATGGGAAAAGCTGGTTTCTAGTCCATAAGTGTTGTGGTCCACCAACAGCCCATGGAGCTAGCAGCGGAGTCGGACAGTGAGGAGGCTGGGGAGGACCGTGGACCAGTCCTGGAGTCAGGGAAAGGCTCGGATGAGGGCTCTGTGTTGGAGGCAGAGATGGGGACAGGGCCATCTGGGAGCGATGCGCGGACTCCAGAGCCTCCAGAGTCGGACAGCAGAGAGGCAGAGGAACAGGAGGAGCCTGTTCCTAGTACATGCATGCACAGAGCTGCCAGAAGGCAAGAGTAAATAAAGCAAAAGGGACGACTCGGGAGTAAGGCCAGGAAATGATTGGCCTCTCCCAGAAGGCTTAAAAGAGCAGCAAAGGCTCTTTGGGCTCTTTGTAAGAAAGCAACGTTGCTAAATCTGTTTCCAGTCAGCGTCTCTTGTGTCTGAACTTCGTGGGGCTTTGCCAAGAAAGGCCTTTGGCAGGGTGCCAAAGAAGATAAAGGTTTGCGATAAGCCCGAAGGACTTATTCTGAAAGATTTGTTTTGCAATTAATTTGGACTAAGCTGGGAATGAAGTAATTCTCAGCTGTTATAATAAAACAGTTTTGTTCGGGACTAATTGTGTCTTGTAATGACTAAGTGAGCCTAGGTCACAACAATAAGAATGCACAGTGGTGCTTGTCTAGTGCCTGGAGCTCCGAAACCTGTATTATTATTTTAGTTCGTGGCCTAGTCGGCCAGATGTTCAGAATGGATTTGACATTTTTGTCCACCTATCGAGTCCTTCCCAAGAATCTGGGAGAGACAGATGTTGATAGTTGATGGTATTAATGATCTCGATGTAGGATGTAAGCTTTTTCCTAGTAAAGCTGCCTTTTGCAATTGACTGATGGGGAATTTGTCAATGCCGACCGTGTTCAAGGGCTCTTTGATATGCCTCTATTGCTGCTTCTTCAAAAGCGCCACACAATTCTCCTCACAACTCTGGGGTTTCTGCTGGGAGGAAGGGACAAAAAGAAAGAATGAGTTGTGGTCACAAACATGGGATCCACTCCCGATCCCCTTTTTACATGTGATGCAAGCAGAATGTTGCCTGCTTGTATCACAAGTAAGGTTCTACATTTAGTAAGATTTTACATTTAGGTAAGAAAGACAAAATGCACAGGTACAGTATACTCACTCAATAGTAGTAACTGTGTAACTTTGGAGTCCTAGTGGACAATCATTTAAATAGGAGCCAGCCGTGTGCAGCAGCTGCCAAAAAAGCCAACACAGTTCTAGGCTGCATCAACAGAGGGATTAGAATCAAGATCACGTGAAGTGTTAATACTACTTTATAAGGCCTTAGTAAGGCCACACTTGGAATATGGCGTCCAGTTTTGGTCGCTACGATGTGAAAAAGATGTGGAGACTCTAGAAAGGGTGCAGAGAAGAGCAAGAAAGAGGATTGGGGGACTGGAGGCTAAAACGTATCTAAAGAACAAACGCCCTGAGTCTTCGGAGAGGGGCGGCATACAAATTGAATTAATAAAATAAATATATAAAGGTATCAAGAACGGTTGCTGGAATTGGGTATGTCTAGTCTGATGAAAAGAAGGACCAGGGGAGACATGATAGCAGCCTTCCAATATCTCAGGGGCTGCCCCAAAGAAGAGGGAGTCAAGCTCTTCTCCAAAGCACCTGAGGGCAGGACAAGAAGCAACGGGTGGAAACTCATCAAGGAGAGAAGCAACTTAGAACTAAGGAGAAATTTCCTGACAATGAGAACAATTAATCAGTGGAACTCCTTGCCTCCAGAAGTTGTGAAGGCTCCAACACTGGAAGTTTTTAAGAAGATGTTGGATAACCATTTGTCTGAAGTGGTGTAGGGTTTCCTGCCTGGGCAGGGGGTTGGACTAGAAGACCTCCAAGGTCCCTTCCAACTCTGTTCTATTCTATTCTATTCTATTCTATTCTATTCTATTCTATTCTATTCCATTCCATTCCATTCCATTCCATTCCATTCCATTTATATGCTGCTCACCTCAGCCCGTAAGAATTGATCGACTCGTTTTTAATCCACTTTGGTTATGCCAGATTCTGGGCTGTTGGCCAAACAATTTGCAGGATTCTAGATGCAGAAATGTTGGGGGTGGAAGACTAGGAGGAGGAGGATAATGCAAAAAATTGGAAATTCTCCAAGACTTTTTTGTTTTGTTCCCGCTTTGCTTTGGTAAAAGATTCACTCCATTTGCAGAAATGGAGTTGGGTACAAATTGGGTCCCTTCCCTCCCACCCTTTGAAGCCCTTAAAATTCTTCTTCAAATCAGGACAAAGACAGATATCTCGGTCCACCTGTGTGTGTGCTATGATCTCCATCACTCAGCCTCATTCCCACTGCAGTCCTCTGGCCCCTTGCCTGAAAAAAAAGAAAGAAAGGTGAGTTTACCTTTTAATTACTGCCTTATTCATGATTTGATTGTTTTTGGCTGGAGGGGAGTTACTTTGTTCTAACCTAGGCTTCCCCAAACCACGAAGCAGACTCCTTGTCCCGACAAAAGACTCTCTTTTATTAAGTTACTGTGAATTCCTCTCATTCACTTCCAGCAAAATCATTCAAGGGAGAATTTACAGTCATGGACCTTATCTGGCTTGGAGAGCTGCCAGGCCGATATCTTCAAAACTTGGCAAGGAGTCACAAATCAATTAAGCGGACTAATTGTCTCCTGCAAACTCCACTCCCCTTTCACTCCTCTTTTATTCCCTCTGGGAGGGGCCATTCATCTTCCACCTGTGGCTTTACTCCCAAGTCGACCCTTGTTCTTTAGCTGTTCTCTTCATCTCGCAACTCTGCACATACACACACTAGGAACAGGCTCCAGCTGTTTGTCTGCCTCACTGATGTCTGACTCCGAAGGCAGCTGATAACTGTCAGACGGTCCTGGCCCCATCTCTGCTTCCCCTTTCGCTCCTCTTTTATTCCCTCTGGGAGGGGCCCTTCATCGTCCACCTGTGGCCTTACTCCTGAGTCGACCCTTGTTCTTTAGCTGTTCCCTTCGTCTGGCAACTCTGCGCATACACACACACTGGGCACAGGCTCCGGCTGTTTGTCTGCCTCTCTGCTGTCTGACTCCGAAGGCAGCTGATAACTGTCAGACGGCCCTGGCTCCCTCTCTGCCTCGGACGCAGAGCCCTCATCAGAGCCTTCCCCAGACTCCAGGACTGGCCCATGTTCCTCCCCAACCTCCTCACTGTCCGAATCTGCTGCCAGCTCTGCTGGACGCTGGCGGGCCACAACATACTCTGAATTTGTCTTACCTTTTTGCTTTTCCTTGCTGAGAAGGGTAGTGATGTCCATTTGTATGGCACTCTGGGCTTAGTCTTGGGAGGAAGAGCTGTGTGTCTGTCAGTCTGTCTGTGGATTATTCCATAGAAATGTCCCCAAAATGCTTTTTCAAGAGGCAACCGGATTTTATTTTCATTGGAAGACGTTTTGCTTCTCATCCAAGAAGCTTCTTCAGCTCTGACAGTATAGTGAGGAATGGAAAGACTTATATTCTTTGCGAGAATCTCTACAGACTTTTAGCTGTACAATTTGGGATGAACCTCCCCTGGAATGGGGTGAGAGTAGGAATGGATTTCCAGAGGAAAAAATGGCAGACTACAGGAACCATTTGCACCACTCAGGTGACCCTGAGGACACAGGTAAACCTCTCCAAGTGGCCTCAACGACCCTCTAAAAAGGATGCAAATGACCAGCTGTCTGCAAGGAGTATCAATCCTTCCATTCCTCACTATCCTGTCAGAGCTGAAGAAGCTTCTTGGATAAGAAGTAAAACATCTTCAAAGAAGAACAAGAAAGTCCAGTTGCCTCCTGAAAAAGCATATTAAAAATGCTGGCTTAGAAACCAGGAGACGGGGAGTTCTAGTCCTGCATTAGCCATGAAAGCTGGCTAGGAGACTTTGGCCAGTCACCAGGAGACTGGAAGTTCTAGTCCCGCCTTTGGCATGAAAGCCGGATGGGGGACTTTGGGTCACCAGGTGGAGGTGAGTTCTAGTCCCGTCTTTGGCATGAAAGCGGATGGGGGACTTTGGGTGAGTCACCAGGTGGAGGTGAGTTCTAGTCCTGTCTTTGGCATGAAAGCCGGATGGGGGACTTTGGGTGAGTCACCAGGTGGAGGTGAGTTCTAGTCCCGCCTTTGGCATGAAAGCCGGATGGGGGACTTTGGGTGAGTCACCAAAGGAGGTGAGTTCTAGTCCTGCCTTAAGCATGAAATCTTTATCAGCCTCTTTTTTCAGATGTCCAAAGCAGGAGGGGGGGAATGAAAGAAAAAAATTCACCGAGATCCAACACTGAAATCAAGTGGATTAGAAACAAATTAAATTCACTCAGTGTGGGTGACAGTTTTTGAAATGTCACCAGATGTTCAATCACACACTTTTTCTAAGCCTGCAGGGAGAAGTTTGAATGAAAAAGATATGTTTGGGGGAGGGGGGATTCATCAAGATTATCCAGAGCAGACAAATGAGTTATTTTAAATAAAGATTTCTTTTTTTCTTGTCCATCAAGAAGATGAACTGGTGGTTAGGAAAAATGCTGGGTTTATATTGATAAATAGTAATATATTTCAGAGAGCAATGCAGACAGGAAACAGTAAATTTTAAGGAGGGAGGAAGGAGAGAGGAGAGGAGGGGAGGGGAGGGGAGGAGGAGAAGAGGAGGAAGAAAAATATGGATGGATGGATGGATGGATGGATGGATGGATGGATGGATGGATGGATAGATAGATAGATAGATAGATAGATAGATAGAT